CATATGTAAATAATTATGATCATTCTTTTCTTTGAAAAATCCATCAGTTAAAAAGAATGGGGGCTGGGGATTTAGCTCAGCGGCATAAGCGCCTGCCTTGCAAGCAGGCAGTCGTGAGTTCGATCCCTGGTACTGATAAAAAAGGAAAAAGACAAAAAAAAAAAAAAAAAAGACTCCTCACATAAAGGAAATAATAATTGTAAAAAAAAAAAAAAAGAATGGTGGGGCCTATATTTTCTGATAGTCTCAAGTGAAAAATATGTGATGTGCAGGAGCTGCATATTACGATTCTGTTTATATTAAATGTCCACAACGGGAAGTCCACAGAAACAGGAAGCAGGTTAGTGCTCACCAGAGGAAAGGAAGGAAGGAAATAAGAATGACTGCAGGTGGGTAGGACATTTCTTTCAGAGATGATGGAAATGTTCTGGAATGACACACTACGGAGGACTCTATGACACTCTAAATATACTAAAGTCCAGAGCAGCCACCTAGAAGGATTGCTGGGGAGTCCTTGGATATTTCTCTTCCTTTCAACTGGCTGTTCCACACTCAGTGCTCTGTAGAGCTATGTTAGTTTACTGTGCCTCCAGCCATCAAGTGAGCTCCAACAATGTGGTCATCAAATTTCTTAACCCCTACCAATCTTCTACATTTAAAATATGACCTAAGCCAGGTGTGGTGGCTCATGCCTGTAATCTCAGCACTCGAGGGATAAGGCAGGAGGACTGTTGTGAGTTAGAGACCAGCCTAGGCTACAAAGTGAACTCACGGCCACCCTGAACTGCATAGTGAGAACTTATCTTAAAAAGACAAAAAACAAAATAAAATATGACCTTATCTGGGCATGGTGGTACACATCTGTAATCTCAGTCCTTGGGAGGCTGAAGCAGGAAGAGCACTGCAAATTTGAGACCAGCCTGGGCTACATGGTGAGTTCAAGGATAGCTTGAACTACATAGTGAGACCCTGTCTCAAAAAAAACAATCAATCAATCAATATGAAATGTGACCCTACTGTTGCTTTCATTTTTCTTCTTCCTGATTACTAGTGAGACTGAACACCTTTTTTGTAGTACAGGTCATTCTTGTTTTCTATAAAGTACCTATTCATATGCTTTGTGTCTACTTTTCTTTGTATTTTTCCCATATACTTAGAGTATTTTATATTTAGGTATATATCTTTCATCAACTCCACAAGACAACTTCTAGAAATCTACCTTACAAGAAAAACTTTTGCACATGTACTCAAGGAACCATATAAGAGCATCTTTAATAAAACACTGTTTATAAAAGGGAAAAAAGTAGAAATAACTTACCTCTCAGAAGGAAACTGGGTAAACTAGGTTTATTTATGAGTGGCTACCATATAGCAATTAAAAATCAAGAATCTACATCTATGCATGCATCATGGATACATCTCAAAATCGAGGCTGAATGCACAAAAAACTTGTAAAAAGATACCCAAGGGGGGAGGGAAGGACAGGTACGGTATAGCACCATTTAAACAGTTTTTATCTCCTGGACATTTTTAAGTCAGTCTCTTCCCATCCAACCAACCACTACCAGAGAGGTGTGAATCTCAGTCTCGCACTTGGACAGCTACCTCAGTTCTCTAATGAGGCTTTCATTTTCCAAACCTGTTTCATTCCAATCTGTCCTTAACACAGTTACCAAAGGCTCACTCTAAAATATAAACCCTTCACCAGTGTGGCATCGCCTGTGGGATAAAGACTTCTTATGACCTGCTCCATGCGGATCCCTCCAGTCTCAACTCTTGCCACTCTTCCTATACTTGTACTCTACTTCTTAACTGAATTGAATTTGTCATTCTGCCCCTGATCACATGAAAGAGTGTAAGAAATACCAAGCCTCTTCTCCCACCATAGTCTTCTTTGTTCTGAAGGGTTAGAGTCTATAGGCAGCGCCAAAAGATTCATAAATTACATACTACTCTCCCTCAGAGTCATTTTTAATAAGAACACATTTCAAATACCAAACTGTCAATATAAAATTCAACGGATGGCTTAAACATTGCAAGATGGTTTTGTGTGTCACATGACTGGACCAAAAAACCCTGCCCATGTGTTCAGTTCCAGTGTAACTCAAACTCCAATGAAGAAATATGCTTCTTGCTAACTGAACCATGTGATTAATATTTATATTTATACTTTGAAGGTAATTATTTCTTTATGCTTTGGAATTAACTGTGTCTATATCATTCGAACAGCTGAAATACTGTAACGACTACATTTGCACATAATTACATTCCATGTGTTAATGAGCTTAATTCACTTTCCCCTCCATACTTTTAAAGTTCCTTTCTGTTCAAAAAGGTTGTGGAAGAAAACTGCATAGAATGGAAGGAACCAGCATGACTTACTGAAAAGCTTGGCCTACTGTGATTGTGAAAATGAAACTGGAACTCAATGAAAGCATTTCTTGATCCCCACAGACCTCCCTCTCACTAGATGATGACAGGTAAGAGCAATGCGCTGACTCAGGAAGGCTGGATGCCAAGTTCCCCAACCTGGTTCCTTCTAAATTCTCTCCATCAAGAACTGTGCTAGAGAGCTAGAAATATAAATCAGAACACTCTCATAGCACACGTGAGACCCTGGGTTCAATCCCCAACACCACCACCACCACCACCAAAAATCAGAGTGAGTTATACATTCCATACAAATAGAATTAATATCAAAGTATTTTCATTTTGAACAAAGCACTGATCTCCTCTGAGTCTTAAATAGTTCATCTGCAAAACAGGTATAAACTATATAAACCTTGGCTTCCAGAAAAGACTACACCAAGAATTACATGAAATATTCTTGTTGTAGCACCATTAAACTCTATAGACACACATAAGATTTTATTAATAATATAATCAGAAATATTATTTTACTGTTAGCCAACAGTTCTAGAAATTACATGTTACAATAAACTTTAGTTTCCCGACTTTTAAAGCCAGAGATTACCCTTATTTGTGAGATCCTTAAAAATTTACACTGGAAAAAAAGTTAGAACATCCTCCTCCGCATGAACTACATATGCTATCTGTGAATCATTTTCATCTCCAAATTAGGAGGATCCAAATTAGTAGGGCTTTCCTACAGTGCAATTTGTTTAAGCAAACATCTACTGATTCCCTGAAAAGTGATTCCCCACCACCACAGGTGGCCTTTGAATTTGTGGCCCAAAATTTATATAAGAAAATATAGCCTTTTAGACTAAGGTACCATAGTGTCCTTAAGAGCCTGTGTCCCCTCTCAGCCGAGAGACAGCATGTGAAAAGGATTGCTCTGGGCCAGAAAGTGCCTGAATTTAATGAAAGTGACAATGACTGCTTCATCACTGTCAAGAGAGATACTGATTGAAAGGACACATTTTTCCTGTTACTAATATTCTTGATCAAAACTTAAAATGAAGCATATGTCTTTGTTGAATCAAGTCCCATTTTCTATTTTCTCAATTATTCTTTTTTCAGGGAAGTAGAGTAGGAGAAGCACAAAATAAATCCCAAAGCCATAAATTCTGTCCCAATAAGTTTACCCAAGATTTCCCAAATGATTATGGGACAATAAAGACACTTGCTTTAGTGCCTGAATATATGACAGTTAACGAATACTGCCAATATTCCCAGTATGGTGAATATTCAGTAAATACTAGACAACCCATCAAATGATGGCATTGATTCTGGTGTTATTAGTCTGACCAGTGTAGTCTGACCAGTATAGTCCTTCCACCACCCACAAACAACAGGTCAGTTACTTTACTGCTTTTACCTGAAATCATACTAAACTACCTATAAGTGAGCTAAGAATAATGCCTTATTAATTTTTCTAACACTAGAAGGATAGTTTATTAATACCAGTAATGAAAAAGAAAAATAACTGAAATAATTACAATCGTAAGTCATCAGAGTATATCAATTTTTAGAGATATCCTCTTATATTTCAGTGAAAGGCAGGAAGCAGGAGGTATATTATTAGGTTGGAAATCTGAGGGACACAAATTAGCTTGGTCTGGCTCCATGTATGGTGGCCACACCTACTTAGAAGGCTGATGCAGGAGGCTTTTCAGTTCAAGGTCAGACTAGACAACTTAGTAAGACCGTACAACACACACACACACACACACACACACACACACAGGACTGGGAATGTAGCTCAGTAGCTCTTGCCTAGCATACATGAAGCCCTGGGTTAGATCCCTAGTACTGCAAAAGAGTTGAGGGGGAGGTGCACAAGACTCACTGATGTGTCCTTCTCCCACCATCTCTCTGGTCTGCATTTAATTAAAGTAAATGATTTTCAGCTAACCAAATGGTTCAACAGGGCTCAGTGACTCCAGTCCCAGCAGTATTGGGTCACAGCCACAGGGCACAAGCCCATCAGAATGGAGGAAGCAGGCTTTCTCCAAGCACACAGTGGGGTTCCACACACATGGCAGATAGTTCTCAAAATGTGAGTCTGGAAGCAGGGCCTTTTTCTTTCAGCAGTAGTTGGGATTGAACTCAGGGCCTTCAATTCAGCTCTTTTTTATTTTTTATCTTGACACAGAGTCTTGCCAAATCCCTAAGATGCCCAAGCTGGGCTTGATCCTCCTGCCCCAGCCTCCGAAGATCTGGACATCTGGGTGTAATTAGAAACAATTAATTCATTTATCCTGGTTAATAAAATAAGGCTGGTGTGATGAATGTAATAAATCACATGTATATAGTATTTCATTAAAATCCAATCAATCCAAATAAATGCATTCAGAATGAACTCTAACGCATTAAATGATACACATCATTTGCACATGTACACACACATACACACAATTATACAAGAGTTGGGACTGTGACAGAAGATTCCCCCCAGTCCAGCAATAGGACCATGACATCTCAATTTCAGAGACAGGTCTCTCTGAAGTCCAGAAAATTCAAAGACACAGAAGATAAAATCCATTCTTTGATCCAGTGAATATCCAGAAGAAGGCGCTTTTCTTTATTGCACCTACCTTCGCCTGGACAGCATACGAAGCCAGGAGCACTGAAGCCTCAGGAGGACAGTAGATCTTTTCCTCTAAAATTTGCTTTTTCACCTGAAAGAGGCAACAAGGGAGGCATGAAACTCTGTTCATGGAAGTAAGTCACACAGGATAGTCAAAGCAGATGGCTGTAAGAAGTTAAATTATTTGTCGATGACATGATACACTACATAGAAGACCCCAAAACCTCCACCAAAAGACTTCTAGATTTAATAGCCAAATTCAGTAGCATAGCTGGATAAAAGTCAACACTCAAAAATCAATAGCATTCCTGCATACAGGTAACAAACTCACTGAGAAAAAAATTAGGGAAACAACACCTTTCACAGTAGCATCCAAACAAATGAAGTATGTAGGAAGCAATCTATTGAAGGAAGTAAAAGACCTTTACAATGAAAACTGTAGTACTCTCAAAAGGAGACTGGAGTAGATATCAGAAAATTGAATGATAGCCCTTCTTCTTGGGTAAGAAGAACCAATATAGTGAAAATGGTCACATTCCCAAAATTGTTATACAGATTTAATGAAATTCTGGTCAAAATAACAACAGCATATCTTACAGAATTTTTTTTTTTTTTTTTTTGTCTTTTTCCTTTTTATTGGTACCGGGGATTGAACTCACGACCGCCTGCTTGCAAGGCAGGCGCTTATGCCGCTGAGCTAAATCCCCAGCCCATTACAGAATTATAGAAAAAAAAATCCTAAAATTTATTTGGAACTAGAAGAGATCCAGAAAAGCAAAAACAATTCCAGGTAACAAACACAAGACAGGAGGCATCACAATTTGAAATTATACTATAGGGGCTGGGGATTTAGCTCAGCGACATAAGCGCCTGCCTTGCAAGCAGGCAGTCATGAGTTCGATCCCTGGTACCAATTAAAAACAAAAAAGACCAAAAAAAAAAAATTATACTACAAAGCTCCTGTGATAAAAACAGCATGCTACTAGCAAAACAAAACAGACCTGAGGATCAATGGAACAGATTAGAAAATATAGAAACAACTCCAAACGTGGTCAGCTCTCTTATCTGTTTGTTTGTTGCTTTTTTTTTAACCTTTTTGAGACAGGGTTTTTAGCCCAGGCTGTCTCGAATTTGCAACAGTCTCCCTGCCTCAGTCTCTTGAATGCTGGGATTACAGGAGTGCACCACCATGCCCAGCTTCAGCCACCTTATTTTTGACAAAGGAGCCAAACACCTTCACTGGAAGAAAGATAGTCTCCTTAATAAATGATGCTAGAAAAACTAGCTTTCCACATGAGGACCATTAAAATGGGACCCATGTCTCCTACTATGCACTGAACTAAAATCAAAATGGATCAAAGATCTAAATATTAAAACATAAACACTAAATCTGCTGAAAGACAGACTAGGTAGAACTCTTGAAGACATAGGTATAGGCAAAGACTTTATGAACAAAGCCCTAATTGCATGAGAAATATTATAAAGAATCAACAGTTGGGTTCTTGTCTTACTAAAAAGTTTCTGCACAGCAAAGAAATCAACAGAGCGAAAAGACAACCTACAGAGTGGGAAAAATTTTTTTGCCAGCTGTTCTTCAGACAAAGAAAGTATAAAGAACTAAAAAAAGTCAGACCTCCCAAATTTAAAGATCTAATCCAAAAATGGGCATCTGAGATGAACACATACTTCTGAGGTGAAGAGGTACAAACAGCAAATAAATATATGAAAAATGTTCAACATCACTGGTCTTTCGAGAGATGCAAATTAAAACAATACTGAGATTCCTCCTAACTCCAGAAAAAGTGGCTATTATGAAGAAATCAACCAATAACAAATGCTGGCCGGGCTGTGGGAAAAAAGGAACCCTCTCCTACTGTCAGAGAGAACGTAGACTGGTACAATCACTGTGGAAATCAGTGAGCAGATTCCTCTAAAATTAGAGGTTCCATTCAACTCAGCTATTTCCCTTCTGCGTATCTTCTCAAAAGAATTAAAAGCATCATACCGTAGGGATATATACACTCTCAAGTTTATAGCAGCACAGTTTGTCATAGCTAAGTTTTGGAAACAATCCAAATGTCTGTCAGTCATTGAACAGATAAAGAAGATGTGCTACTTTTAGACAATGGAGTACTGCTCTGCCATAAAGAAGGATAAGCTTGAGACATTTCTAGCTAAGCGAATGGACCTTGAGACTATGTTCATAAGTGAAATAAACTGGACACACATGTTAAGTACTGCACTGTTTCTCTAGACCTAAACCTAAAGTGTAACTAAGGACCAAAATGTATAATAGATAGTAGGAAATAAGAAAAAAAATGTTCAAATGAGACGAGGAACAAAGGAAGGGGGAGGGAGAAAGGAAAAGAAGAGACAGAAAAAAAGAACAAAAGGAAAAAATGAAAACAAAGCTTTTGTAAATAAGGAAGGGAAGGCTAGCCATGGTAACAATGCCTGTAACCTAGCACTCCAGCACTCCGGAGGCTGAGGTAGGAGGATCACTGAGTTCAAGGCCAGCCTGGGCTATACTAAGGAGTTCGGGACAGCCTGTACTACATAGTGAGACCCTGCCTCACAAAGAAGAAAAAGAAGAAGAAACAGAAGGAGGAGGAGAGGAAAGAGAAGAAAGAGGAAGAAACAGCAGCAGCAGCAGCAATGGCAACAGCAAGATATATCATGTACAGATACAAACTCCCTATGATGGATGTTATCATTATGTATAGCTAAAATGTACCAATAAAAGAAAAAAATGCAGATAGAAAAAAAAAGGCAGATGGCTGCAGGGTGTTCTAAATGAGAGCTGCCAAAGCAACCTGTTAATGATTTTCTGACAAAGGGGACATTTTTTTTTTTAAACTGCTGCAGACTGGCTGAGAGTTCAATCACGGGATACTTTTCAGTGAGATAATGAAGCATAAAAGCCCCTCGTTTGGGGCTAGGGGTGTAGTTCAGTGGTATAGCACATGCCTTGCATATGAGAAACCCTGTACTATAAAACAGCAAAATAAAACAAAAAAACTCCTAATTGCTTCCCTTCATGATCAAGGCTAAAGGGTAAATGCGATCTTCACGGTAATAACAGAGACTGACATCTGGGCTGTGACAGAGAGCTGTGAACTTGAGAAGTGTCATGAGTACTCGGCCCCAGCCAAGCACTCACAGCACTGGAGGAAATGGAGTCTACTTTGAAATCTATACACAAGACAAAAGCCACCAAGGCCACTGAGTTATGACTGCAGAAAAAAGCCATCACTTTCAATGTGCTGCTCTAAGGAAAAAGGAAGCAATAAAATTTGATTGATTCAACTTTTAAGTACACGTGAGGTCCAGGAAATATAATTCCTAAGCCATAATGTTGAATTAACATATCTCATTGCACTTAATTTCTTAGAATGGTTCAGTGTGTGATCCTCCAGACAGAGAGGCAAGAGAGCCACATAAAGGGGGGGCACACAGAAATAAGCACAACAGGAAAGTCAACTCTCTTTTCACAGATCTAACAGTCCGCAGATTCAAAAAAATAGTCAATTTTACCTTGTTCAGTGGCAAAAACACCCTAACACTGCAGTGTGAAGGAAAATCAAGACAGAGTCTCATGAAAGATAGGCACTGTTTTCAGGTGCTTAGAGGAAAGCCATTTCTGTGACACTAAGACATTCTGGGACCCATGAGATCTTTATGTGGCTTCATTCACACAAAAAAAATCCTTCCCAGGTTTTAAAGCTGATTTCACATTCTTACAGAGAAAATGAAACCTGAGATGTTTTGAAGTAGTGCAACTTTCAAATCCCTTGGCTTCTTTTCAAAGGAATAAAAAAGAAGTCACACTATTGAAAAAGTGAAAGGGCTACCCTTTGGCCTGAAAAATTTGAAAAGAAATTTACCATTTTATATATGTATACACACACACACACACACACACACACACACACATTATGTTTATATAAATATATCACATCTATTTTGTAAAAGAAATTATTTAGGCAGTCTTATTAAATTTTACTTATTATTTACTGAACAAGATATACTGAGGTTGAAATTAATTTACCTCAGTTGACAGACCACATATCTACTTCTGGGAAATCGTACAGTTAATGACCCTGCTGTAGTCTTTCATATCGCTGACAGTGAGCATCTTTGGGCAAACAAGAAGCCCCAGTGCCAGTCACCACACCTAGCCATGAAACTGGGGAGATCCTCTGACCAAGCAGTAAGCACATATGCAAAACTGGCAAATTAGCCTCTGTTTTCCTAGGTCAGTGATGGCAAATATTTTAGAGACACAGTGCCAAACTGCAACCCCAAACCCATTTATTTATTGCAAAGTCCCAACACTGCAATTAAACCTGAATACTGAGGGTTAGTTCAGAAAAAACAACTCTACATTAACTAATCTTTTGTCTTAAAAGTGAGCTAGAAAATTATAGATGGTCACCACACCTGGCATCTGACACCAATTCCCATTGCCCAGGTTCAGTTCTATTCTGAAGATTTCTTTTTTCATTACAGAATCAAAGGGACAGACTACCTAGAATCAGGATATTTCTGTAATGTGGAACTGTTTGCGATCAATACCAACAGGTTCACCCACGCTGCCTCTGCAACTATGCCTGGTTCTCTCAGAATTTGGTGGGTAGCACAGGAAGGTGTACCTGCAAGAAGAATAAATGTTGTGTGCTCTCCTGAACCAGCTCCTCCTCAGCATTCTCAGGATAAAATTTGGCCAGGAAGTGAAAGGTGACTGGTTCTTCCTTTGAGACGTCATGGTCCAGCACCTGAGGAATTATAGAGCAAAAGACACACTAGATTGGCCTTTCTTCCTTGTGTGCTACTAGCAAAAAATCTTTTGCAGGGAAGGTACAAATTTTTTTCCTCATATTTCTCACATTTCCCACAGGCTGTGATTCTACAGTTGGAAGCATCCAGAGCCATCAATAAGAAGAGGTAACATCCACTTCATGTAGGATTTCTCAAGCAAATCAATCAATATCCCCAAGGGATTAAGCAGAGCTAAGATAAAGCCACGAATTATCTCAAGGACACAAAAATAGTTAAAAACTATAACTCAGAGGTCTTAGGCACTACCCTTTATGGAAGATTAAAGAGTTTTAAAATTTTTTTGAAGTCGTAGAATCTTTTTTTATTCTTTATCGTTGCTGCCCACCTCTAATGTGTAGGTTCAATTAGAATACAGTTCAGAGACTACGAACTAGATCTTTGTGACACAGTTTAGATTTTAACTGAGCAACAGAAGTGAACCATGTCCGCTAAGCAACGTTTGTTTCTAAGACCCTCCAGCAATCCCTCAAAAAATTCCTGCAGTGCAGTCAGTAAACCACTGCCTTTAATCTTCTAACAATTCCATCCACCCCCTGAAAAGCTTGAACCATCTGCTCTCCAGAGTGAATTTCATTTCAGGACATAAACATGCCATGTGACAGGCTACCAAGCTCCATTAACATGTGTCATAATTTATTTCCTTTGAGCAGCAGGTTCTATGGCTCCTGATGCCCCCAATCTAATATCCATTTGGCCCACACTCAGGTATGATTTAAAATACACTTTGCTGCGAATCATAAAAAGGTAACAAAGTTTTGCTGTCTTTGATACATAACTTTCCATGCTCCTGTCCAATTCCTGGGGTTAAAGAGGGCCCAGGAGAGTCAAAATAAACCCGATCTAGGACACCCTTGCTACCTCTGGCACTCCATGGCACCAAGAGGTTCATGATCATTGGGAATTACCATTTGAAATTACAACCGGTAGGGATTTCAAATGAAGACTGAGATTATCATCTGTATGTGAACATGATTTGAACACTTCAGCTTAGAGTCACACTCATAAGACACATGAAGCTTTCACTATTTGTCATGCCATCCAGTAGATAATATGGTGGTATTAGGTGAGCAATGGCAGGGAATACCATTTGGGTAAGAATTAAGACATTAATTTACTTTGCAATTCAGGTGTTTTTCAGAGTAACTAATAAAAATTCATGGTCCTGCTCCCCACGTTTTCATGCTTAGGTGGGCAGGTAAATAGGTAAGCATGCCTCCATGAACATACAAGCCCATACACAGGGTGGTTCCTCTAGACAACACCTATTTCAAAGACACATTAAAATGATCAGGAGCCCAACTTCATGGGCCTTTAAAACCCCAGAGAATCCCAAGGTCCAAACAGGCATTGTTCTCTCACCACAAGGGCACATACACTGTTTATTCTTTAGGTCACATTAATGATTCATTCAGGTTGGGGCATGGTGTTCTCAAAAAGATTTTTAAAAATTCCCCAAAGAACATAAGCCCCAAGAGAATCTTTCAAAGATATAACGTGGTAAAAAAAAAAAAAATCTATCTATCTATCTGTCATTTTTATCCATAAAGCCTGATTAGTGGTTCAATAAACTAAAAGGCATAAAACCAGAAACAAAATGGGCAAAGAAGCCAGGGCTGTCAAGGGTTTAACACCGGTAAGTTGTGCTTGCCCAGGAAAACCTGTGAGGAGTAGAAATCTGCAGCAGCTCCCAGACCTTGTTTCTATGTGATTTCACATTGCTGTGACACCCTGAGATGGGTAAATAAGCTAGGTGTGTGCTTGGGGGGAAGGAGGGAATGGAAAGTGCACGCCTGCCCACACATTTCACAAAGCTCCAGTCCAACCTTCTTGTCCATTTTGAGCCAGGCCACGGTGTCCTTGATTGTGTACTGCAGTCCAAAGAACCAGGTTTCTCGCAGCCCCAGAGTCCGACACACCAAATCAAATAGGTCCTTCCCTTTCCACTTCATCTGCAATGTACCAACCAACAGGGAAGGTCGTTATAAGCAAAAATCACAATCCACTTGCCCGCAAAACTGTCTTCCTCACTCTCTGTTGATACTAAGATGGCTGATGAGCACTGAATTCCTAAATAATTTTAAAGCTTCCCACACAAAACCATGAGTGGGAAAATACCAATTAGAGCTTAATGGCTTAATCACTGCAGAGCATACACAATACTTCCCTTGGACAGTTCTTTACAGAGCTTAATATCCCCAAAGCTGCTAATTTAAGAAACCTGATAAATAAGCATTCCTCATTTAGAAGAGTGAACCCAGGGAGATGACCAGCTTCAGAGACATAAATTCCTTTGAGAGGGCTGGGCGTGGTGGTGCACACCTGGAGATGAGGCAAGAGGATCACACTGAGTTCAGGCCAGCCTGGGCTACAAAGTGAGTTCAAGAGAACTGCATAGTGAAACTCTGTCTCAAAAAGACAAAAAGACCTTGGAGAGTTTGTTGCTATTCTTTTTTTTCAAGTCATGACTCTGCCCTTTGATAAAAAGCAAGTATTTTGTGGTTTTCTTTCTTTCTTTCTTTCTTTCTTTCTTTCTTTTTTTTTTTCTAACTTAAAGACTGGATTTAGTAGGGTTTTCATATAGGAGAAGTTGTAATCAAAGTCTAAACCAAGGGAGAAAAAAAAAAAGAACCACAAGAAACCAGACAGTTCAATCAGAGGTGTCTATCACAGATGCCAAACAGGAAGCAACTCAACCCCTACTCCATACACACACAGCGCAATTTCAAACCCTCAGTATGTAAATGTAGATAATGAACAGACATCGGTATACTGTGGTGCACTGATCCTATAGCCTCACTTTTAAAGGACCCAAAGCAATGGCTGCTAAACTGTTTTTCCAGTTATTCAATCTTTTAGCTGTAGCTGGAAAGGCAAGTTCAACACATCTTATTAGATAAAAGAGGATGCCCTACAGCTTAGCAAATGTTGCCACCTAGTGGCTTTCCACCTGAATCACTCAGAATATTCCCACATTATCCCAACTATTGCTTGCCCCCTTCCCAGCCCCAACCAGCCCTAAGTATCAGGGGGACACTGGAATATACACTTGAGTACAGTTATGATCAATGAGACACATCACAAAAACCAAAGTCACAGTGAGAGTAATCTTGAGATTCAAATGCTAGGTCACCAGACCAGGGAAGAAATGAGACCACAGAAGTCTCTCTTCTGCCCTCATTTAGAAATGTCTATGCTGGGGGCTGGGGATTTAGCTCAGCGGCATAAGCGCCTGCCTTGCAAGCAGGCAGTGGTGAGTTCAATCCCTGGAACCGATAAAAAGGAAAAAGACAAAAAAAAAAAAAAAAAGAAATGTCCATGCTGCCAAGTATGCTGCCTCTCTAACCTCAGCTACTCAGGTTTAGGCAGGAGGATCACAGGTTTGAGCCCAGCCTATGCAACTTAGCAAAAAATAACAAGAAGAGACCTTAAAAGGGAAACAGTGTAAAGAAGGATAAAGCTGAGTCATTTGTAGGAAAATGGAAGCACCCTAAAGACCATAATATTAATAACTTTTCTTACATGAAAATCCCAAAAGATGAGTAATTTTAAAACTAAAAGACAACAGTAAACAGGAGATTGATCTTTGGCAAATGGAAAAAGGGTGGAAGAAAGAAAGGTAGGAGAGAAAAAGAATTAAGTACCCATGCTCAAAGAATTAAGTACAAGCACCTACTTCCTAATGTGCATGTAAACATTAGGTACTGAAAATACATATTAATAGACATTTAAAATTTTTTAAATTTATAAAATGGGGAGGTGGGAATGTAGCTCAGTGGTAGAGTGCTCGTTTAGCATATATAAAGCCTTGGGCTCAAAGGGGAAGAAGGAGAGAGACAGAAAAGAGAGGTCTTCACCCAAAGCACACTGAAGATACATAACAAAAAGAAAGGGGAAAAAAAAAAAAGGCTTAGGAACTCGTAAAAGCAGGAGGAAAAAATAAGTTAGACTCCTGATATATGACTGACTTGATTCTACAGGGGAGTTTTCAAGTCGACCTTCTATTTTTAATAGATGTGCATGAATAATGTGATCTCTGAAGCCCTCAAGAGGAGAGGCATCCCTTCCCTGTGTTGGCAAAGTCAGCAATCTAGGTAGCAGGGCACTGAGACTGCAGGGGACAAGGGGTTGAGGTGCCTACTGGCTTTTGCCCCCACTGGGCATTTATCCCATCTGATCTGCAGCCTCTGGTCATCTTCTCTCTGACTATTGTGGGACCCCTGGACTACTAACCACAAAGACTAGAATCTTTAGAGGTTAGTTTGAACAGAGTAAAATAAACAAAATAATGAGTTTTATTTTTAAAATTTGCCCCCCCCCCTTTCATAAGGTGGAATAATAGACTTGCCCACTTCTCTGACAACTGGACAAAGGGTTTCTTAATTCATGGCAGGTTTTAATTCTTACAGGCTGACTTCACTAAAGAAATGTTATTTTGGAAAACTGGAAGCTTCAGGATGCTGATTATCCTCTTGTCTCTATTTTAAGCCAGCACACAGTATATAAATTATAAATGCCTACCTTGCTAGGAGATAATGTACCACTAAAGAACAGGCATTAACTTGGAGAAGTTAAAACACTCAAGGGCCAAGAGGATCAGGTAATGATTCCCAGGTTCCCAGAACTGCAGGCCACGGCCAGGCTGTACGTTGGCACAAAGGGGCAGCCCACAGGGGATGTGCGGTGTGTGGAAGAAAGCTGCCAAGGGAATGGTGAGTGGGTTTCCAGACTTGGGAATTTAAATCCTCAAGCATAATATTGTATTAATGTAGTTTTCCTCTATTTTTTTCTACTTCATTTTTAAAATGCAAAATTATCTTTGTTGAATGCTAAAAGACAATGTCTTTCTCCCCATAGAGCTTACAATAAAATGAGGAAGAGGGAAAGAATTCTCACTACACTTCAGAATGCCCTACTTAGGAGTCTTCTTCCTACTTAAATTTTTAATTTTAGTGCAAAGAAGATGCATACTGTCAGAGCTGGATATAAGCCTGAGTAGTTACCTATTGTAAACTCATGTCTTTCGTACACATAGGGAAACTAAGTCACGGATTCGGCAGCCTGCCCAAGCTCCACTGTTCTTTAGCATGATGATCCAAAGCAGGCAACTCCCAGTCCCTTGAGCACCTCTTTCCCTGCTTTTCGGTCTTCTTTTCTTGCTGTCCACCATTCCCAGCAGGTGACTAGCGTCTAAAACAACACCCATTCTCAAAAGAGGCCAATATGGCTCATTTATAGCTCCATGTGAATTAAAGCCTGTTACCTCTCATTTTTTCTTTCAACAAGTACTACAGCACACACATGCTGCAGTGTGCTGTGTGTGCAGAGCACACCCTATATGCAAGCAAATGTCAGACACAGAGGCTACAAAATGATGGAAGCAGAGTCCCCACAGGACAAACAGGCAAGACCTTGGGTCACAGAAGGGTTGTAAGAACAAGTAAGAGTTCTATAACAAGAGGGAGGAAATATATCTTTTAAAAAGTCAAGATCTCTACAGGGAACCACAAGTCATCTTGCAGAGCTGGAGCTGTCAGCTGGGCTCAGGAAGGGGCATAGCAGGATGGTGCTAGATGCTAGACCACAGGATCACCTTCAGCCTGACAGTCACAGATGCTTTGAGGACTCTTGGACAAAGGCGTGACAGGATTAGATCTATATTCCAGACATATTCTTACAACCAGGAGGAAAATAAGTAGGAGGAAAGGAGCCTAAATCACGAAGTGCACCTGGGTATGATGACACAGGCCTATAATCTCAGCTACTCCAGAGGCTAAGGCAGGAGGATCACAAGTTCAGGCCAGCCAGGACAAGGTCTCAAATAAAAATAAAAAATTTAAGAAGCCAAATGTGGTGGTGTATGAATGTAATCCCAGCACTTGGGAGGCTGAAACAGGATCACTGAGAATTTGACGTCAGCCGGGACTACGAAGTCAGTTCAAGACTAGCCTGAACTATAGACCGCACTGTCTCTAAACACACAAACAAAGGCTGGGAATGTAGCTCAGTGAGAAGACCACTTGTCTACATGCACAAAGACCTACGTCCTCAGCATAGAAAAAGAAAAATAGGGAGGGAAGATAAAAAGGAGTTCATTTCAGCCATAGGGAAGGTGATGGGCAGGAGAGAAGACAGTCTGAGAAATGGAAAAGAGACAATCATAAAACTGGTTCCTGAACAGGAATGGAAGAGAAAGAATCAAGAAGGACATCAGTGCTTCTGGCTTAAACACCAGGCAGTTTCACTAAAGGAGAGATGGAACACAGGAGAAGGAGCAGTTTGTGGGAAGTAGATGAACAATGAAGTTTTAGATGATATATATTAAGCTACCCAAGAAAACCAGGTAGAGATGCCCTAAATATATTTGATTTAAAACCCTCCATTTATAAAATAAAATGTTTTGGGCTAAGGCAGAAAGATCACTTGAGCCCAGGAATTCTGAGACCAGCCTAGGCAATATAATGAGACCTTGTCTTCCCCCAAAATAATCATTAAATTATTCTGCTTTTAAGCAATTAAGAAGATTTCTCTTTGACTAAATCTAGCTTCAACATATTATCTATATGATGCTGTGCTTTTCAACATGCCCTTGCCCAAATGTCCAAGAGATGTTAGGTGTTTCTAATTTGGGTTTCTACTTCTCTACAAACAAGAGCCATGGTCACAGATGCTTCAGATGGTTTTTTAAGATCCAGTAGAAAGGAGGTCTTAGGTTGGGGAAGGGGCTTCTTTGGCCAGTTCATCTTCGGTTTTATCCCTGGTCTGCTGCAATGTAGAGATGTTGTAAAGTGACTCACTGTCATCTGAAGGTCTCCCTGGACTGGAAGTACCTCTGACTAGGAGCTGCATTAGTCATCTTCCTGTTCCCCACAGTGCCCAGTGAGTATGTGCACATAAGACAAGACAAACAGTGGCTGTCCAATGTAGCTGACCAGGTTACTTCAAAACCTCA